CTCTTTCCCAGGCTTTCCCAAGTGGGCCAAGTTGTTATTTGCACGTCTTGGGGGCAGAAGAGGAGGGGTTTGCTTAAGGGGGAGAGAAATCTCTCCAGCACTGAAAAAACTGCAAGGCAGGCTAAAACATTGATTGGTTCTCAGGCTGTTGCCATGGTGGCAGGTCACTCTCCTCATCTCAGCCAAATGGTGTATAACTTGTAGCATCCCAGAATTACACTGTTGTTATGACAACAGACAGAATGTGAGGTATTGTTATCACAGTTATATAAAGGCTTTTTTTCTATAACATTTCTTGCGCCAAGGACAATAATTTGCGCTGGAGAATCTTTCATAACACAAGAGGCTTCCGATAATAATGTCTAGCCTTATTGCCAGTTGAGGTTACCCCTAGCATTCTGTCACAGAGCTGAAGAGCTATATTGTTCTGAAACATGTGTCATGATGTAAATAAATAGAAGTGGTGTTGCTGGAAATGGTGCTTTTATGTTGATATATTAAAAGCTCTGCCTGGTTTTTCAGTTCAGCTTTTTAGACACTGATGAAAACATTTTTGTCTCTGTTCATTAATGAAGCGTATTTGTTAGTCAGTTTCACAGTAAATGCCAAAGGGCAAGTTCAAGTGTATGTCAGATTTCTGAGATATTTTAGTTTGAATTAGATTAATGAATACCCCAGAGTCCCAAGTCAAAGTTGGATATAGGCCTATGTAGGGGCCTAATGGAGGCATAATTTTTTGCTCCTTGCTTTCAACAGATTTTTAAGTTGGATAATGTCATTTCAGGCCAAATCAAAGCCAGAATAGTGAGAGATTAGGCATTCCTCTGAGAGTAGCGGAGAGGATATTTGTAATTTTTCCATCAAGATTATTCATTTTATTAAAAAAAAAAAATATATATATATATATATATATATACAGTGTATATATATATATATATATATTTATAGCTTTCCAATATAGTTGAGTGCATTTTGGAATGGCAATATAATACCTGAATCACAAAGGTTGCCTCAATTGTAGAGGGAACCAACATATAAATAAACCTTTGCTATTCAGAAGTCAGGCATTATATTACCATCCCAAATGCCACCAAACCCTACTGGAATGAAAAAGGTTATATTTCCAGATAAATTGATATAAAATAATGCCTCATGTCTGAATAGCAGAGGGAACCAACATATACATTAATGGAGCAGTTTTTCATCCATATTGTGCAATGGACCATTTGTGGTGTGATGCAGGCTTTTGTTGTGGTATATTTTTTAAAGCAAGCAAAATCTGGCAAAGAGATGCAGTCTTTTGTGTTTGGATGTTTTAATGTAGGAGGAATTCTGTAAAAAAAAATCTAATTCATATTTTGCTAAACAATATAGATTTTCTGTTCTGTCCTTTGGGCTTGTGCATTAACAAATGCTCACTATGCTACTTTGAAGTACACACTTACAAATATTGACTTTTCAATAAGGCAAATATGCTCAGTATGATGCACTTAAAACAATTAAAGCACTGCTGACAACCACGCAGTGCACAAATCACTGACATAGTATACAGAACTGTTCGGTTTTAAATCGGAATTATAATACTTATAAATGTTTATTATGTTTACTAAGGCAGTTTGACTATTATTGGAACTGATTTAGAGAAATGTAGCATTACATCACTCGCTCACCAATGGATCCTCTGCAGTGAATGGGTGCCGTCAGAATGAGAGTCCAAACAGATAATAAAAACGTCACAATAATCCACAAGTAATCCAAATGTCTCCAGTCCATCAATTAATATCTTGTGAAGTATAAATATGCATGTTTTAATAAATAAATCCATCAAGATGCTTTTAACTTTAAAGTGCTTCCAGCTCCTGTCCGTACTATTGCTTACTCCAGGCAAAAATTGTCTCGTCTGAATCAGGAGAGAAATATGCATAGATAAAGTACTGTTTACAAGCAACATAGTCCAAAACGGTTCTAAACAAATATGTTGGTGTATTTTGATGTAGACAACAGGGGATGAACTCTTTTTTATTGAAGAAAGCGTTAATATTGATGGACTGGTGTTTTGGACAGAAGCAACACTTTACCATTAAAACACCTCAACGATGGCTTTGTTTCACACAGTTTTGCACTTCATAAGACAAAAATGATTGACCAGAGTTCCATGAAATGAATAACTTGTGGATTATTGTGATGTTTTTTACTGGCTGTTTGGACTCTCATGTTCATGAACTATAACTGGTCCTGGCCTTTAGTTGGTCCAAGATGGTCATTGGATGGTTGACCAGTCAGCATGTTCAAAAAACCATCTGGTTTGTTTCAGATCCAAACTGTTCAACTAGCTTGGACCAGCCAGTGCCCAGCATGGTCCAGTTTGGACCAGCAGAAACCAGCTACCATGTTCCAAATCAAAACTACAGCTTAAGAGGGTTCTTTTTTCTCCTGATCACTTTTTTCTTGATTTATCTCTTATTCTTTGTATCTTTCTCTCTTTCCCAGGCTTTCCCAAGTGGGCCAAGTTGTTATTTGCACGTCTTGGGGGCAGAAGAGGAGGGGTTTGCTTAAGGGGGAGAGAAATCTCTCCAGCACTGAAAAAACTGCAAGGCAGGCTAAAACATTGATTGGTTCTCAGGCTGTTGCCATGGTGGCAGGTCACTCTCCTCATCTCAGCCAAATGGTGTATAACTTGTAGCATCCCAGAATTACACTGTTGTTATGACAACAGACAGAATGTGAGGTATTGTTATCACAGTTATATAAAGGCTTTTTTTCTATAACATTTCTTGCGCCAAGGACAATAATTTGCGCTGGAGAATCTTTCATAACACAAGAGGCTTCCGATAATAATGTCTAGCCTTATTGCCAGTTGAGGTTACCCCTAGCATTCTGTCACAGAGCTGAAGAGCTATATTGTTCTGAAACATGTGTCATGATGTAAATAAATAGAAGTGGTGTTGCTGGAAATGGTGCTTTTATGTTGATATATTAAAAGCTCTGCCTGGTTTTTCAGTTCAGCTTTTTAGACACTGATGAAAACATTTTTGTCTCTGTTCATTAATGAAGCGTATTTGTTAGTCAGTTTCACAGTAAATGCCAAAGGGCAAGTTCAAGTGTATGTCAGATTTCTGAGATATTTTAGTTTGAATTAGATTAATGAATACCCCAGAGTCCCAAGTCAAAGTTGGATATAGGCCTATGTAGGGGCCTAATGGAGGCATAATTTTTTGCTCCTTGCTTTCAACAGATTTTTAAGTTGGATAATGTCATTTCAGGCCAAATCAAAGCCAGAATAGTGAGAGATTAGGCATTCCTCTGAGAGTAGCGGAGAGGATATTTGTAATTTTTCCATCAAGATTATTCATTTTATTAAAAAAAAAAATATATATATATATATATATATATACAGTGTATATATATATATATATATATTTATAGCTTTCCAATATAGTTGAGTGCATTTTGGAATGGCAATATAATACCTGAATCACAAAGGTTGCCTCAATTGTAGAGGGAACCAACATATAAATAAACCTTTGCTATTCAGAAGTCAGGCATTATATTACCATCCCAAATGCCACCAAACCCTACTGGAATGAAAAAGGTTATATTTCCAGATAAATTGATATAAAATAATGCCTCATGTCTGAATAGCAGAGGGAACCAACATATACATTAATGGAGCAGTTTTTCATCCATATTGTGCAATGGACCATTTGTGGTGTGATGCAGGCTTTTGTTGTGGTATATTTTTTAAAGCAAGCAAAATCTGGCAAAGAGATGCAGTCTTTTGTGTTTGGATGTTTTAATGTAGGAGGAATTCTGTAAAAAAAAATCTAATTCATATTTTGCTAAACAATATAGATTTTCTGTTCTGTCCTTTGGGCTTGTGCATTAACAAATGCTCACTATGCTACTTTGAAGTACACACTTACAAATATTGACTTTTCAATAAGGCAAATATGCTCAGTATGATGCACTTAAAACAATTAAAGCACTGCTGACAACCACGCAGTGCACAAATCACTGACATAGTATACAGAACTGTTCGGTTTTAAATCGGAATTATAATACTTATAAATGTTTATTATGTTTACTAAGGCAGTTTGACTAAGCCTTTGAGGGCTCTTCTATGACAGTGTTGACGTTAGAGGGATAGTTCACCCAAAAATAAAAATTCTGCCATTAATTACTCACCCTCATATCATTCCAAACCTGTAAGACTTTCGTTCATCTTCAGAACACAAATTAAGATATTTTTTGATGAGAGCCGAGAGCTTTCTGACCCTCCATAGACCGCAATGCAACTGACACGTTCAAGACCCAGAAAGGTAGTAAGGACATGGTTCATGGTCAAAAGACAAGGCTCATGTCGTTAACGTGCGTTGAAGACTGACATGGAAGAGAAGAAATTGTTGAATGAAGTCTTTATTTTTGTTTACTTTGCACACAAGAAATATTTCGTAGTTTCATAAAATTACGGTTGAACCACTGATGTCACATGGTCTGTTTTAACGTTGTTCTTACCTTTCTGGACCTTGAACATTTCAGTTGCATTGCTGTCTGTGCAGGCTCAGAAAGCTTTCATATTTCACAAAAAAATATCTTAATTTGTGTTCTGAAGATGAACGAAGGTCTCGCAGTTTTGGAACGACATGAGGGTGAGTAATTAATGACAGAATATTCATTTTTGAGTGAAATAACCCTTTAAAGGTTATTTATCGATATGTGACTGACATCACACATTTTCAGTTTTTAAAAAGTCAGGTAATGGCACTATATATTTTGAAGAGTGAAAAGATTATAAGACTAAATGAAGAGAAAATATGACTTGACCTTAGAGTTGAATAGAGTCAGACAGCAGCTTGGCTTTAAACTGTCTGATGTTGTCACAAAGAGAATTTTTAAATGTGATCTGGCTATAACATGTTTATTTTGACAGGTAGAGTCAAACTGTCTCTGACACTCATGAGTTAATATCTGCACATCTTCTTCTCATCTCTTTGAACAGGTAAATTGTTGTGGATGGGAACCTTCTCTGCACCCTCTACCTTCCACATGACCCCACTCTCCCTGTTTCATCGGCTCCCGTGAAGATACGTAACACTCTCTAATACTCACTGACAGCATGGCGTCCACTGCCCAGATTCTGGCCTTTAAGCTCTCCCCACCCTCTCAGGATGGGAGTCCAGAGCGTCTGTTCAGCTGTGATGAGGACATTGAACGGCGCTATGAGGTGGTCCCGTCTGTCGTCTGCTCCATGTGTTGCCTGTTTGGCATCATCTACTGCTTCTTCGGTAGGTTGCGAAGGATGACTGATTTTATTTAGAAAACTGAGATGTGTCCGGTTTGGAGAAATGTAGATTTACGTAAGAAGTATTACTCAGAACAAGCCCAAATTGTGGCATGACCTGAATGCATGGGTTATGTTTTTGTCTCATTATCACAAACATTGTTTCAGCTGTGGTTGTTTATGGCCAAATTTAATTCACCTAATAACCATCTGAATGTGACAACCAGACAAGGGTGACAAATCTATGTCCCTTTCTATTAGATAAGCTTTATCGCTTTCACTTGACTGTGAAATTTGCTTTCACTGCCCATTACTTGCTAGGAGAGAGAAAGAGGGAGGCTTGAGGCTATCTCAGCTGTGACGAACAGCAGCTTCTCTCTGGCATTCTGGCCCCAGTGTGACTACGTTAAAATGTTAAAACATGCTATTTATTCTTCATGCCCTTCTGCTGCCAATTTGGGCCATTATTAACAGTTCTAAATTGCATCAGGTGAAAGCAGATAACCTCTTAGTGAAAAGCACAATGGATTATGAAAGGCTCCTGTTGATTTAAAAGCTACTTTTGTACATTAACTGTAGCAACAGAATGGGCGTTAATGGCATAAACACCTTCACTCAATGCATTTCTGATGATCCCACTCATATGTTACCAAACAAAATGTTTATCCCTGGAATTTCAAGTAGAGCTGTTTTAGAAATTACCTTTATAAGCCCAGCAATGAACAATGTTCTTGTTTCTTATATATATATACTAGGTTGGGTGATTTTTATTTTTCCATTTCATTCTGTATTCATCATGATATTTATTTCATAAGAAATGCATTTCACATGTTAGTTAGATGTTGGGAATGAATTTTAACGTAACGTATTTATTTACATGGAAACTCCATAGAATAAACTACATTTTTAATTTAGGGCCCATTAAAATCTGTTTTCATTTTTCCCAAATTCTGTGTTTTCCATTAAATTTTTTTTGTGAATTCTGTGTTTTATGATTTAATACAAAAATGTATAGTGGTCGACCATTTTTTTTGACAGCCAATGCCGATATCTTGGAAAGCAGGGTGGCCGATATAATTTTTTTAAATTTAATTAATATTTAAGAAATTTGAAATCATTTGAAAATGGATTAAAAAACAAACGTGTAAAATAAACATACTTATACTTTAGAAGACAAAGTATTTTTCACAAATAAATAAATATTAATAAAAATATAATTAAAAAGGAAGTAAACTGTAACCAACAGGGCACTCAGTTTGTGTGCATTGGGAATCATATTTTTTCAAATAAAGCCAAGGTAACACTCATTTTACATACAGCACACAGTGAAAATGACATGAATATGACAGTGGGCAAATGCATAAAGCACAGCATAATTTGAAATAACGAGTTAAAGTTTGTCGATCCAGTGAAGCTAAACTGTCCTGTCCGCATTCAATTCACACGGACCGACCATCAGAGAACATGCGATCATGCAGGATACAAATGCACACACTTCACAAGATCTCAACTAGATTCGACTAAGTCTGCAAGGTTTGTGAAATTAAATTGCGGAATGCTGATGGCAAATGAGAAAGTATTATAATGTTTGCCTTTTTATTACTAATAATATTAAAGCAATCGTTATGATTATTTTTTGTATGCATTTTAGTGCCTTTGTTTAACAGTTCTATCTGATTATTAGACAGACTTCTATCCGTATTAGACCGAACTGAATGACAACAGCGAACAAGAGGGAGAATGTGAGCAGTGTGTGCTCAGGCGCTGCTGCAGCCGTTCTCAGCGCCATCAAAATAAATCCCACCTCGATCACATCGGCCAAACAGAAAAACTTATCGGCCGATGCAGATATTTGAAAAATGCCAAATATCGGCCTTGGTGATTTATCGGTCGACCACTAAAATTTATCATCAAAAATGGTATCTAATGAAATTAATTTACTTGAATAGCCGAATAGAATCTAATGCAATGAATTTACTTGAATAGTTTACTTGAATAGAATACTTTTAAAATGTAATTAAATAAAAATATAACAATTAACTTTAAATTTTTTGTCAAGTAAGGTCCTGCACAACAGAACTTGTATGCTGTATACATTAAAACATGAAAAATATCTTGGTTGTACAATATTCATTAAAAAATCTAATAATATGAATATAGCAGTAAATTACATAAAGTATTATAAAAGTAAATTATTATGCAATAGTAGTATTTCTTTCCTAATGAATTCAAATTAAAACAAGCTTTTAATTTGGCGATGAAGATTGTTTCAGTGTGTATTTTGAATGTTATTTTTCACCTGTAACTTAAAATTGGCATGAACATTGACATGCAGGTCAAAAGGTGACAGTCCCATTTATTTCTGCTGTGTGATAGGCTTAGACTTATCCATATTGAATACAAATGTCTTTCCAGCTAGATGGGTGTTTACCTGATTCTGTCATCTGTAAATTGTGCATCCAGTGTTCCACATTATAGCAGACATAGGGGGCATGATGCATGTTCAGGACCACCAGGTGCCTAGTGACTGCTGTAGCTGTAACTTAAAATTGGCATGAACATTGACATGCAGGTCAAAAGGTGACAGTCCCATTTATTTCTGCTGTGTGATAGGCTTAGACTTATCCATATTGAATACAAATGTTCAGAGCTTATCATCTTTATCTACATATTTTTAATTGCAATGTCATTTGCTAATAAAATAATCATCTCTTCCAAAATCATTTTCTTTCTCACCCCCTCCTCCTCCTCCCCTATCCTTTCCTCTCCACCTTTCTTCTTTTGTAGGGTACCGCTGCTTCAAGGCTGTAATGTTTCTCACGGGTCTGATGTTCGGTTCCATCATCATCTTCATGCTCTGCTATAAGGAGAGGGTCATGGATACTCAGCTCAGTGTGGAGGCCAGTGTGGGCATAGGCCTGGGCATTGGCACGTTGTGTGGTTTGGTCACTATGCTGGTCCGCAGCGTGGGGCTTTTCATGGTTGGACTTCTCCTGGGTTTACTGGTGGCCCTGGCATCTCTGGTGGTTCTGGAGGAGTTTTATCACCCGAGGACAGTGTGGCTTCCCCTGGGTGTGCTGCTGGGCTCGGGAATGCTGTTTGCTGTGCTCACGTTGCAGTGGCAGCGCTGTTTCACCACCCTGTCCACCGCCGTCTTCGGATCAGCTGTGGTGACTGTGACTGTGGATTATTTTGTCGAGCTCTTTGCTTTAACGCGGTATATCTATGAGAGGGTGAAGGTGGATCCGCCTCGCACAGTGTGTTGGTTCACATGGGTGGTCATGGGTGTTTGGCCCGTGCTGGCGCTGCTGGGTGTTCTTATTCAGTGGAAGGTCACGGCTGAAGGATATTCACACACAGAAGGTAAGTGGCAAGCGATTGTTGGGAAAGGGACAAGGTTGTGGCTTAAAGAGATAGTTCACCCAAAATTAAAATTCTGTCATTTACTCACCCTCAAGTTGTTCCAAACCTGAATGAGTTTCTTTATTATGTTGAACACAAAAGAAGATATTTTGAAGAATGTTGGTAACCAAACAGTTGATGGTAGCCATTGACTTTAGTAGTATTTTTTCCATACTATGGAAACCAATGGCTATGGCTACCATTAACAGCAACAATTCCTAAAAATATCTTCTTTTGTGTTCAACATACATTGATACAACTCATAGAGGTTTACACTGTGTCCTAACCAGACTTTGTGTGACACAGTGGTATCTTTACAAAGGTTTCTTTTCCATGTTAATCTGAGTTTTTGTTCCAGCCGCGACAAGCGACGGGATTCTATTTTAGAAACGGCATACAAACTATGACAATGATAATCTCAGGAACTGATCATGTACTTCATTCAATGTTAAAAGTGTCTAATTTGAGTTAGAATAGATCTTGAAAATAAATTAAAACATGCAAGTTAAAAATGTGAACTCGACAAGTTTATTCCATAAAAAGATGGTACCAGTCCATACCAAGTATGTACTTTTAATAATGTAAAAAATGTTTAATATTTATAAATTTGATTATAAATGTATTCATTTCTATGCGAGTGCAGTGCACTTTCAGAGAGATCCTGCCCACACGTGCTTCTGATTGGCTGTGATATTTGATTGATTTTGTTATGTCGCATAGCTGTTTCACATCTGATTGTCGTGAAGCATCCAGTTAGGACATGGTGTAAGAACAACTTGAGGGTGAGTAAATTTCGTTTTTGAATGAACTATCCCTTTAAGCCTAAAGCATACTTTCATGTCTGCTATGACTTGCACACAGTCTGTGTGTGTCTGTGCAAATTCTGTCATCATCACAGCCCGTTGATGTCTGTGCACACCGTCTGCATGCAGACAGATTTATATGTCCATGGGCAACACCGCATGTGCGAATGCTTTAAGAACTCAAAAACAAAGGTCCACTAGATAGTTCATCCGTCCATGCTCATGGTCAATGAAGTATACTTTAAATGGCTCTGTGTACTCAACTGTGTGCTAGACGGGGTGGAACGCAGAAAATGAAGTAAACTCTGGACTTTAGTGTAACACAAGTGGAGTCCAATCCTAGTCCAGTCCTCAAGAGTTTACAGAAATCACCCCCATACTTTTATAAAGTGCTGTTTGAAAATTCAGACATTTAATGTGGTTTTCAAATCCATAGTGGACATTATTAAGTGCACTCATTCAATCTTATAGTGTACTGCAATAATGATTGTACAACCAATGTATACTTAACCAATAGCCATTAGAGCAGGGGTGCCCAACCCTGCTCCTGGCGATCGACTATCCTGCAAAGTTTAGCTCCAACTCTAATCAAAGACACCTGCCTTTAATTTTTAAGTGATCCTGAAGACCCTAATTAGTTGCTTCAGGTGTGTTTGATTAGGGTTGGAGCTGAACTTTGCAGGATAGTCGATCGCCAGGAGCAGGGTTGGGCACCCCTGCATTAGAGAATACCCATGCATTCTGAGGGTCACGATTCTCACCAGATTGTGTCCACAACACTTCTGATGTATTCGGTGTCCGAATTTTATCACTTGTCATTCACTCATTCATTAGTGGAGTAATGTAGGGAATAGTGAATGAGGGTATAGGGGGTGATTACGGATAAAGCCTAGTAATCCTGAAGTCCTTCATTAACTGGTTCAGCTGTGTTTAATTAGGATTGGAGCTAAATTCTGTAGGATTGTGGCCCTACAGGAGCATGATTGAACACCCCTGGTGTAACAGTAACATCACCATTAAATCCTTTCAAGGAATGGTTCACTCCAAAATAAATATTTTGTCACTATATTCTCACCCTTATGTTGTTTCAAACTTTTTTTTTTGAGTTTGTAGAAGGTATTTTGAAGAATGTCTCAACAGTTTTTGTACATAATGAAAGTCAGTGGGGTCCAAAACTTTCAAGCTCAAATGAGTGAATACATTAGTATGCCCCTTTCAGTTCTTTAACGTTTCAGACATTGATTTTCATAATATGGACAAAAGAATCCAAAACATTCTTCGAAAAATCTTCTTTTGTGTTCTGCAACAGAAAGAAAGCCATATGAGTTTGCAACCGCAGAACTGATATTTTTGAGTGAACTATTCCTTTAAGAGGACGTCCCTCTGTGGACTTCATTACAACAAGGTGTCTTTCTGAAACTTCCCCCTGGGTATTCTGGGTGTTTTGAGGTCATAAGGTTTTTGCCGCTTTTCTATTTATGGGTGTCCTAGTTCATTACTTACAGTGGTGATCCTGTGGAGATCAGACTGGCTCAGCTGTGCCCTGCATACAAGCTCCCATAGTCTCAGAGTGATCAATGGGAAGGCCTGACCTGAAATCCATGAATGGGGATTTTTAAATTGCTTCATCACTGTCTTGTAGAAAGCAACCACGAGCATGACATTTCCAAGGGTAGAAGTCACACTCTCTATAGACCTCAGTTGGGTTAGATGCCATATTGAATTTAACGCAAATGAAAATAAAGCTGTGAGGGATAGACAATGGAACACACTTTGTAAAGGTCCTAAATCATGTCATTTTTATTACTTAAAACGTCTTTTTTTCAGAAAGACGTTTAGTCAGTTGAACGGTCGATATGTTGCTAAACAACAGTACAATCCATTGAACGCACTGTGCTTGTATCCCTTACAGCCTAGTAGTTTTCACTCCTGTCAGAAATTAAATATGGCGCTACTTTGACCAAGGTCTATGACTGATAACTAAGAACAAGAATACTTATCCCACAGTAAGAACAGAATTGTGGGAAGTTAAAAACAAAGGAAGCACCTTGAGCAGTTCTCTTTTAAAAGTACACATACATACTCTACTTTTCCTTGTCAAGTGCAAGGTTAAACTAAATGTTGCGCTAATATTCAGAATTAAAGTGTGAACTGGGAGAACAGGCGGCGTGAATTGCGCTGGGGATGGTTGCCATGACTACAAGCTAGGCCCTTCTTTGGCGGGAATGGGGGAGGGGGCCGCGATGAGGAAGGGGCAGAAGAATAGAGGCGAGAGTGGGAGGAGTGTTTTCTGAGGGGGAAAGCGAGAGAGAAAGATCATTACATGAATTCCCTGACAGATGGACTACGAAGCTGTTGAGGCACAGCAGAGTGACTGAATGGGCAGAAATAATCCGTCTGTTTTTAATAATGGCAGGGAACAGAATGTCGATTTAGCCCTGCACAGGGCAGAATGTGTCAAAACACTCAACGGTTTGTTTATCAGCTTGGCTTTGGACCACTGTTTGAGAGACCCAGCCAATACACACTGCATCGTGTCTTTACAGAGTAGAATAACGCCTCTGTTTTGCAGTTGTGACCTGATGTGCTAAAGCTATGTAAGAAAATATCTTCCATTAATATCTGTCTTTCTTAATTCCGTTTTTTTTTAAAGTCTTCATCAGTCACCAGCAGAGACGAGTGCAGTTAATGCGAATTCGTCAAAAGGAAGAAAGAAGGGAATGCCAAAAGAAAAAGAAGAAAAAGCCACAGAAACAGTCGCCGCAGCAACAGAAGTACCACCACCCCCTTCAGACCAACCCTCATCCCCCAAACCCTCCTCCCAAACTCCAGCCTCCGGAGCCCACCCACTGCCGGAAACCCAACACCATTCGCCGCTTCGATGGAGATGTACTTTCTCCAGTAAGTATCAGTCGTCTGTCTCGCCGCAAATCAGATCTGCGAAACCTGACAAACGAATCCCTATGCTTATCTTTTCAATTAATCAGAGATTGAATACACGTTCACTTTCTCTTTTAGAGTTACATCCAGAACTTCCGTGACAGACGTACGGACAGGAGGGGCTACTCTCATGACAGGTTGATTGGCGGCTCACATGTTGTAGATTTGGACTATGACTACGGCTCCCAAGTGCCCCTAACAGCCCATACAGGCCCCGCAGTGAGAGGTTGACCCTGTACCTTTTAATGAACAGGAATTGCACTGCACAAACCATTCCGAGAACCGAAAACTTTGTGGCCGGATCAGATAGCTATGTAAGAAAATATCTTCCATTAATATCTGTCTTTCTTAATTCCGTTTTTTTTTAAAGTCTTCATCAGTCACCAGCAGAGACGAGTGCAGTTAATGCGAATTCGTCAAAAGGAAGAAAGAAGGGAATGCCAAAAGAAAAAGAAGAAAAAGCCACAGAAACAGTCGCCGCAGCAACAGAAGTACCACCACCCCCTTCAGACCAACCCTCATCCCCCAAACCCTCCTCCCAAACTCCAGCCTCCGGAGCCCACCCACTGCCGGAAACCCAACACCATTCGCCGCTTTGATGGAGATGTACTTTCTCCAGTAAGTATCAGTCGTCTGTCTCGCCGCAAATCAGATCTGCGAAACCTGACAAACGAATCCCTATGCTTATCTTTTCAATTTATCAGATATTGATTGCACGTTCGCTTTCTCTTTTAGAGTTACATCCAGAACTTCCGTGACAGACGTACGGACAGGAGGGGCTACTCTCATGGCAGGTTGATTGGCGGCTCACATGTTGTAGATTTGGACTATGACTACGGCTCCCAAGTGCCCCTAACAGCCCATACAGGCCCCGCAGTGAGAGGTTGACCCTGTACCTTTTAATGAACAGGAATTGCACTGCACAAACCATTCCGAGAACCGAAAACTTTGTGGCCGGATCAGATCTTAGAGCATGCGATTACTTCAGCCGTCACAATGGCTGACGGGACTTTCATACCTAAATCCATTTGCTGTATTCCCATGATTTTTTTTTAATGCCAGAGAAGTTGCAGCAAATGGATTGTATGCCTACGAAACAATGCGTAACCACAGTATGGCTCTGTTCTCTTGCATTTAACTCCATTATATATTGCTGAAGATGGTTGGGAGGATCCCTGGTGTGGGCCTTTAAGGTCAGAGAAGAGTCACGCCTCTCAAGGCGGGCCTGTCCAATGAGAAAGGAAGAAATTCCAAGTGGGAGGTTGCAATTGCTGGAGGGTTTTACGACCCTTTGTTCGAGGGCATGGTAATTTGCATATGTAATTCGCTTGGGGTGTGGATGCACAAACTAATAAAAGATTCTTAGAACACTAATATGTTGCATAGGTATAAACATACAGTATACACTCTCAATTAGATCATCCAAATACTAATTCATAGATACTACACATGGTAGGGTTATATATATATATGTAGCTGACAGGAGTGAGTGTTTCGATCATAAGCCTGCATAGAACAGTATACAATCTCAAAGACAAAATACACGATGACAATAATATACACAATGACCTGAAGGATACACTGTTCATTCAAAGAAAGGTTTTCCTATGAATTAATTAGTAGAAAAGTCCATTCCTACTGTGCCTTGGGGATTTTCCTTATGAAAAGACAGTGCTTTTCCCTGCTCACATTCCATGAGGTCGTAAAAGTATCTGGTGTCAGGGTTGCCATGGTTTGGTGTCATTTGCAGACATCCTGGCATCCAGTTTATTGGGTGAGGGGACTGTGGCGATTTGTTAATCTAATGAAGAACTGATTTGTTAAATCAAATGAAAAATTGTGTGTTTGATTGGTCCAGACGCTACAGTACATAAAGGGCTTTTCACACTTGAAATGATTAACCCTGGCCTGCGTCAGGATTTGAGTTTGGGTTTGGTATTTGTCGACGCACATTCTCAAGAGTGCCATGATGTATACGTGTGATGCTAATGATGCAGGAGTTGGTGTAGAACGTAGAACCGGATGTGCTGTGCTTTGTTTGCAAGCAGAGGAATGCACACGCATGTGTCGTGATACTCTCGTGAACGTGCGTCAAAGACTGACATGGAAGAGAAAAAATTGTTGAATAAAGTTGTTATTTTTGTTTTCTTTGCACACAAAGTATTCTAGTAGCTTCATAAAATTACAGTTGAACCACTGATGTCACATGAACTATTTTAACAAAGTCCTTACTACCTTTCTGGGCCTTGAACGTCGTAGTTGTGTTGCTGTCTATGGAGGCTAAGAAAGCTCTCAGATTTCATCAAAAATATCTTGCGTTTCGAAGATGAATGAAGGTCTTACGGGTTTAGAACGACATGAGGGTATGTAATAAATTTTTGAGTGAACTATCCCTTTAACATTCTTATTTGCATATTTGCGGAGTCAGTGATTGGATGAACACAGCACGTGATCAGTTTACATAACAGCTATAGCATTGCACGTCTTCGTATTAGTTAGGGATGGGCGATACCACTTATTTTGTTTTCGATACGATACCGATATTTTTCAAATCAGTATTGTCGATATCGATACCGATTCGATACTTCTGAACTAAACTTTTAAATGATGAAATTTATTAAATTATTTAATTTTTGAGTGAACTATCCCTTTAACATTCTTATTTGCATATTTGCGGAGTCAGTGATTGGATGAACACAGCACGTGATCAGTTTACATAACAGCTATAGCATTGCACGTCTTCGTATTAGTTAGGGATGGGCGATACCACTTATTTTGTTTTCGATACAATACCGATATTTTTCAAATCAGTATTGTCGATATCGATACCGATTCGATACTTCTGAACTAAACTTTTAAATGATGAAATTTATTAAATTATTAAATTACTAAGAGTAAAATGGGTAATGATAAGCACTTAACTTTATGTTTAAAACGCATTTTAACATTCAATACGCCTTAATTGTAACTTATTAGGTTATATTTTTGTTTACACATGGTTCAGATATGTTTTTTGTTTACACATGATTCAAATCTATAAATACTACAGAACTATGGTCACTTTAGTAAAACCATGGTTCATTTTCATAAGGGACTGCCAGTGACAGGTTGTTGCATGCATAAAATGCAACCTTTTTATTCTGACAGTGTATGATAACATTACAGTATAGAACAGGATCAATATTATCTTTCAACTTTCAATTTAAATAACTAATTCACAAACTATGTAGGCTACAATTTCAGTTTGTTTATTGTGAAATAACTCTGTCCTTCTGTCCTCTGATAAGCATTGTTCAGGGCTGCCGTTCCCAAAAGCTTTAAAGGGGTCCTATAATGCTCTTTTACAAAGTCTTGATTTTGTTTTGGGGGTGTACTAGAACATGCTCTCATGCTTGGTGGTTCGAAAAACGCATTATTTTTCACATAATTTACATTATTAAAATACCTTTCTCCCCAGCCTGGCACAAACGGCTCGATTAGTTCCGGCTTTGATGAAGGTCCGCCTTCCGAAAAACAAAATGTGTTGTGATTGGTTAGCTGTCCCAGTGCGTTGTGATTGGCGAACAGCTTAGACGGTGTTTCAGTACTGCCCCGTCCCTTGCTCCGTCTTTCAACAAAAACAAAGACGTTCGGGCACGGAGGTGAAAAAAACAGCGTTTCAGGCGGTCGCGCACCGGACGAGAAGCGCAGGTTCTGTCTTGCAACATTTGCGTGTGTTCAGATGAGCAGGAAAATAGTTATATCCTGCACAATTACTCGCTAACAAAGATTCTTTGTCCAATTCAATGCATATTGTACGCATTATTATTATTATTTTTTTGTTAAATTAACAAAATCACTGGTAAATGAAACAGACCTTAGTATCGATATTTTTTGTTTGAGTATCGATACTTTCGATACTACGCTCTCTGTGATTGATTTGTTCTGTCTTGCAACATTTGCGTGTGTTCAGATGAGCAGGAAAATCTACCTATCCTTACCTATCCTACACAATTACTCGCTAACAAAGATTCTTCGTCCAATTCAATGCATATTGTACGCATTATTATTATTATTTTTTTGTTAAATTAACAAAATCACTGGTAAATGAAACAGACCTTAGTATCGATATTTTTTGTTTGAGTATCGATACTTTCGATACTAACGTCAGTATCGATATATCGATACTTTGGATCGATACGCCCATCCCTAGTTCGAAGCTGTTGTAAATTACTCTACAAACGTACACCTTTGTTTACTTTGTGTGCTGCTCGGCAACCACTTTGTTGCAACCACAACTGTTTCTGAGGAACTAGATTGTTTGGCGGAAGAATACTGTTTTTATTAATATCATCATTACACTTTATTTGCTCTGTTTTATTTTGTGAAACCTAACTACATATATGGAATAACGGTTTTATAAAACCGTTGGGCGTTGTCCTAAAACCCCCTTAGCTGTTATAAATTCACTGTAAACCACGGCTTCTTGGGGATTATTGCTTTAATTTACAACGAATCAGAATCAAGGACCGGAAGCAGGGTTTAGAATGATGATAACCCGGGGTTAAAGACAGTGAATGCCCTGAAGTCCACATACTGCCCCAGTGACAGTATTGTTCCTTTTTTGTGTATTTTTTAAATCTGGTGATAAAAGACTGCATGCTGGTTATATGCAAATTATATCAATTTAATAAGATTAAAATTGGATTTATTTTTATCAGTTGTCTCAACATTGCAGGGAAGTTTGATTCCTTGAAAGATTAATCAAAGGTTAAAGGTTTTGATTTCTCCAGCTTGCAGCAGCATTACTCTTTCTTTTCATTTTTATTTTCAAACCTACCTTGCACTGACACAGAAACAGACGTGCAAGCGTGAAACACAACACAGCCCAGGAGGCTTTTTAAAGGTCAGAGTTAACGCTAATAAAAGAGTCTCATTAAGGTTATGATGATGCGTTCATAACCTGTCAGTATAAAGGTGATCGAGTGAAGGTTATAGTGTTGTGAGTCTGCACATATGTGACTGCCTTCGCCTCAGGAACAAAGAGCTGGATGCTGAATTAGGACAGAAGGTGGTATTTTACTGTGAAATCTCTTCGCGTGGTTTATACAACCTGTCAGTTTATTCCCTGCTGTGATTTATTTGGATCTCTAGCAGGTGCATGTTGGTTTCAAACACCTAGTTCAAACATTTTTGTCAACTTTAGACTATACACTTTATGGGTGTTTTCATAAATGAAACTGGTAATTTTATGCAATTTATTAATTACAATTTCCAGTTTACAGAAATGTAATTTTTTGTTTCATAATTATTTTAC